TCCATCTTCCAGAGGACTGTGAATTGTTCTTGTTATGCCCCAGTGCGTGGCATAGAGCCTGACGCATTACTCAGTTACTACTCATGAGAATACACAGCATTCACTAAAGTTTACAATTAGCAAAAAAAAAAAAAAATTTCCTAAGACAAAAACATGTAAGACTTGACGTTTTGAAGGCCTAACATGGAAAAGGCTGCCCCACTGCAGTAGCCAGAAGGCACTGTGCATTTACAAACTGTAGGGTGCACCTTGCACTCAGCGTGCCTAGGATGACATACCTCCTCATCACCTCTACATCTTATTCCTGTAGCAGGCACTGGCTCTCACAAGCTTAGTCATCATTTCACCTGGCTGTTCCCTCACAATTCACAAAACAAAGGGCTCTTCTCCATTATTTTCCCCATTTAATAAAAATGGTCTTAAATTAATACTCACATCAGAAACATGAACTGCTACTTATATAGTAGTATACTCATAAGTTTAGAAAACTCAAAGCTTGAGAACTGAAAGTTCTTTGGCCTTCTCAGGTACTAAAATTTTGTAGTCAATGTCATCAAATACTTTGAAAAAAGTTGGGTACAGGTAATAAAATCTGCAACATAACATGTGCAAAGCAAAGCTTCAGAGTCTAGCAGTTATTGTGCATATTTATATATACAGGCGCACACACACACACATACACATCAAATATATAAAAACTGACAATTTTTATACCACTTCATTTATATTATGGACTACTGAGTCCATGGATGAATTATGTTTAGATGTTTGAGTCCTATGTAATTCATTTATTAGTAATTCTAAACAACATTTAAGAATCAAATCCAAGAAGGAAATACTAAGAACAAGCCATTGCGCTTGACTTATAAACCCATCTTAAATTAGTGGTGACATCTTGTCTCGATTTTTATCTTTTAGTTCTGATCTAATCAGACCTTGATTGGGGGGGAGGGAGTCTTGGATCCTAATGCCCTCCCAATCAAGAATCTTTCAGCTTTATTAAAAGCTTAAAATAATTTCAATATTATAGACACAGCATTTACTTACAACAGTAGCATTTGACCTAGAACCAAAAATTATAACTATCTAGATATACTGACCCTAAGCTATGGTAATTTAGGATATAATTTTCTGTTGTTGGGGTCTGCTGGCTTTGTGTAGTAAACATAAATAGGGTGAGAAGTGAACACTCGGATAACCCTTTCTCCATCCCACTGAAACAGTATCTTAACTTTAGGGAATGTGCAAAATTCCCAAATAAAGTCTCTCTCTAGTGGTCACCCCACTACTGGAGCCTGTTCTCTGCCTAAGGATGCTGAGGAGACCAGGCCTCAGCACGCCACCTAAGGAATGAGAACTGCTGGAGTCACTCCTGACTCTGCATTAGCGAGTCCTGCAGGGGGTGCTGTCCCCACGCCTGGCTCCAGGAGAAGCACAGGCAAAACTCAGGAAAAATATGCATAAGACTATCCAACACTGATTTCTCCTGAGGGCTAGAGAGATAGGAAAGACATTTCCTTTTTTAAAAAAAAAGAAATTGCAACAAAAAGTAATAAAAATCAAAGATAAATATTAACCTATTTCTCCAAACACCTACATTTACCCCAAGCATAGGATCTTGTGGGTTTTAGTTTGGGTAACTGTCTACCACATTGTCTGGCACAGCAGCGTGAGCGAGTTCCTCTGCTTTCGCTTCAAGAACATTATCTTCTGCCATGGCTGAGTTACTTCTGAAGCCTCGTGTTCCAGGGGTGGGAGGAATGTGTAAGGCACAGTGTCACTCTCTCTAGCACGTACTCCTTCACTCCACCCCCGACTCCAATGCCGGCACTGCACTCAAGCCAGAGGAACAGAGAAAGTCACGGCCCCTAGCCTTGTCCTCAAAAGGCCTCCACTCCTGTGGAGGACCCACAAGGAGAAAACTGAAACACTATGTGATATGGGCAGTAAAAAGAGACGTCAACAGAGAAAGTCACGGCCCCTAGCCTTGTCCTCAAAAGGCCTCCGCTCTTGTGGAGGACCCACAAGGAGAAAACTGAAACACTATGTGATATGGGCAGTAAAAAGAGACGTGCATGGGACGCTGATGGGGTCCCAGTCACAGCATCTTACCTAAGTGACCCCACACTTAAACCAGCAGCTTCACCTTCATTCGTCTGCTCAGCAAGAAATCTCAGGAATGGCTGGATCATTTAAGTGGCTCTTTTAATCAATCCATGGTTCCAACCCATCCTCCTTGATAAGATCTACTCAAATCATTCCTAACCCCAAACACCTCACACAAATCACACGCTCATGACAATCTCTCCAGGCACATCACTAGCCTGTGGTTGGCACCATTTATTTCCGTGTCCATCCCACAATGTCCTGCTCTGATGATGACTGTGCCTGGCTCACCCTCATTCACTGGCCATGACTCAGATGGGCCTCGCTCGCTCCTCCCAGGTGCGCAGGGCCCCATCTGGGGCCTCCACGCTCTCTACACACTCCCGTCACCATACTCATACCTCCTGTTCTGGCATCAGATGGGGCCAGCTTGGAGGACAACAGGAATGTTTCTCTTTGAATTCCCAGGTCCCAGCACAGTGCCTGACACATCGCCAGCCTTCCATAAGTGTTTGTTATGTAGGAATAGTCTGTACCATGTATAGTGTTAATTCACTTATGATGGACTTATACCATCTACCCAACTAGACCCTGAAGGCAGGAATGATATTTTATACTTATTTTTCCTCTCAAAGCCTGCCACAGTGTTCTGTGTACAGGAAATGCTTAATAACACATCCATTTGTGTGAATGGTTAAACTTTAGCAGTATTTCAAGATTCATATAAAACATCCTGTGAACAATATAATGTGTCATGAACGATGGCAACAATCTGTGCTAAAAAAATAATTTTTTAGGGCCGGCCCGGTGGCGCACTGCTATAGTGTGCCGCTTGGGAAGCGCGGCGGCGCTCCCGCCGAGGATTCGGATCCCACATACAGACCGGTTCCCGCTCACTGGCTGAGCGAGGCGCGGGAGCAACACCGAGGGTTGCGATCCCGTTGCTGGTCCCAGTCCGGTACGGGGGCAACACTGAGGGTTGCGATCCGTTGCCGGACACGGAAAAAGACAAAAAATAAATAAATAAATAAAAA